TCTGTACAAATAAGAAAACTAAATCAACGTCCAAACATGATGAACGCAAGATAGATCAGGGAGCAGAGCACGAAAAACTCAGTTTGGAGGATAAAATTCAATAAGGAAAAAGAAAAAGTTTAAACTTCAAATCATACTTCTTTTTCTAAATTGTCTATAAAAGATGCAAAATCTCACTGTTGAAGCATTGCAAGAAAAACAATTTATTTTTAATTGCAAGCAAGGTAAACCTCAGTAAATATATATGAAGCTAAATTAGAAAACGACCTTCCGGTTCATTTCTTGAACGGCTATCCTCCGCATGCTCTCGACAACATCCACATTGACGAGCTTCCGCTTCTTCCCGATCAGCCAACCTTTAGGGTAGCTTGAGGGCTCGAAATCCGGAGGTGGGATTAGAGATTCAGCTGAAGGGCGTTTACCATTCATGCTATTGACTGGCTCGAAAAGAGCCTTACGCTTTTCGGAAATTATAGATATGTTTTTTGCAAGTTCTAGCTTCTCTTGATCAGTGCTCGGTTTGTCTAATGCCTCGTTTGTGTTCTTTTCCGTGTTGGCTACTCGACGATTTGGATGATGTGGTAAAAATTTTCAAGAGTAGCCCATCAATCAATTTCAAAATTGGTAATACTTTTTATTTATTTATATATATGCATTGTTATTAGTTACAAAATTAGTTGTTAAGGACATTTTGCCAAAATTATTGCTGCAGTGACTTTAGGGGTAAAATCAAAATTCAACACCAAAAGGCAAAATGAGAAGGACATTTCTTGATTCATCAAAACAGGGTATACATATTAGGACCTGACTTGAGTTATTCAACAAAGACAATATATTTAGTGGTGGAAGTAATATAATAGAGAACAAGATATTATTTTATTTATAAAAGATAGATGGATAAAGAAAAGTTCCAAATTTCATAATTCAAGATCAAGATGATGGACCAAATTTTGGAGTGAAAGAAAAGCATGCATGCAGCAATATATAGGGAGGAATTATACTTAAAGTTACACAAAAACTTCAGCATAATTCATGAATCATGTGTCATGAGCTAAAATCAAACAAGAAAAAGAAATGGGGTCAAAACAAATGGCAGGAAGAACATGGTTTTTAAATCAATTTCATAACTGGGGGGAATCTAATTATGGGGTGAAGAATTTCAGCACTGATGAACAATACATTCTTAGACCCCCAACAACAATTATTAATCAATTTGAAGCAAAACGAATTCAAAATCAAGCAAACAACAGTTTTGTTCTTTTTTTCACTAGAAAATTAAGTAAAAGAAGAGAATTACCAGTAGATCGTTTTCTGGATTTCCAGAGAAGAGGAGCTGAATAGACTGGAGAAAATCCATTCAGACTTCCTCCACCACCAGACACCTTCCTTTCTTCTCCCATAGCTTAATTTTAAATAACTAGGCAAAATATTTAGAAAGGTGAATAAAGGAAAAAAAAAGTCTCTTGTTTTCTTCTTAAAATGCAAGAAATTTGAGAGAGAGACAGAGAAATAATAAGAAATGGGATATTGGGTGTTGGGGACTGAAGAATCTAAGTTTTAGTGTTTTTTATTTTATTTTTATTTTTATTTTTTATTTTTTATTTTTTGTTTTTTTTTAGACGGTTGAGATTTTGTGTTTTTTATGATTAGTTTGTTTGGTATCGTGTACCGCTTTCTTTTCTTTTTGGTACCTTTCATTTGGATTTCATCTCTTCTCACGTTTCCCTATCTTGTAAGCCACATTATGGCACACACCAACGACCAACATAACTAAGGTAATTGGATATGAATTCAACTAGTAAAAAATTAAATTTTTTTTAACTATAATTAAATTTAAAAAAAAAAAATATAGTTAGTTGTTAATGGATATATTAAAATAATATTTAAATTAAAATAATTAAAATTGATTTAATGTAAAAGTAGGAGAAAATAATTGGAAGCGATGGTTAGTTAAAATTATGTGAGTGTGTGAATAGTGAATTAAAGTTGATGTGGTGTGTAATAATGATTAGTTGATATTATTTAATTATATTGATAATATTGGAGATAGTGGAGTTGAGTTAAAGTTGAGTTAAATTTGAGTTTTGAGTGGGATATTTACTGTAGAAATTATATACAATCACGCCCTAAATTATTTAGAAGAGATGAACCTAGTAAAAAATGAGTATCAACGGAGCGTGGACACTCTCCACCCACGTTCTCCACCCTACACGACGTTGTGTTACCCTACACGATGTTGTGTTATTAAAATATGAAATATTATTCGTCCACGCTTTTGACAAACTTCTCATTCTCCACGTTGTGACAAACTTCTCCTTCTGCACTACCCATGTCTGCTCTACATATTTTTGCACACGAGGAGGCGTCGCGTACCGAAGATACATATCACTTACGGCAGTGTTGTATTCCTCCACCATCCTCACTTTGACAACGTTCTTCAACCTGTCGTGTGTGAACTTCGGTTCTCCATGGCAGTTCTCAAATAACCTGGCGTAGCTTTCAGGTTAAGAGGGGTTAGAATTTCTTAGCAGCGGGCGGTCCATCGCGGCAGATTTTGCTGAATCGGAGGTTGAGGCCTCATTGGCGGTAGTTTTGGGTGGCATAGGGGCCATGGTGGTAGTCATGGTGTGTACCGGCTGGTGGTGGTTCAGGTCGCTAACATCGCTAATATAAAAAGATATCGATCTTGGGCCAATCATTCATGAGTTGGTTAATTTCTCGGTAGAACTTCTAAATTTTGGCCCAAACTGAAATTTGTTGTGAGCAAGTTTATGGCTGCCACAAATTCACGCGTCTCGATTCTCTGATTGCTGACGCAATGAATACCAACGTCCGATTGTGAAGGAGAATTTGAAACATGATTGGTGTCGAGAATTACAAAGAAAGGGCAAAATTTGTTAAAGTTTTGGACAACAATAAAAGTTTTTTGTTGAGATATTTGGACATGAGTTATTTGTTCAAAAAAAGAAAAATCAATTTCAGGTGATTAATACATCTAATTTACTCTCCTCAATTAATTTGACCACATATAATTACCTAAATAAAATTAGCGTATTTTTGTACTTATGTTCTACTGAAATGATTATTATGTACTAAAATGATTATTATGCAGTATAATTGACATTAAAAAAAAATCAAGAAGTACTGAAAAATTATAGAATACTTATTTTCTACTAAAATGATTATTATGTACTACTATATAGTATAATTGATATAAAAAAAATCAATAAAATACTTATTTTCTACTAAAATGATTATTATGTACTACTATATAGTATAATTGATATCAAAAAAANCTAAAAACTTGTAGGTCAATAGATGGATTCCATGTAAGCAATAATTTTTAAGAAAGAATTACATTAGAAAACCATCAAAAACTTGAAACAAAAACTATGCAAGGGTCGATCACATTTAACATGTAAATTATACAAGCAAACCCTTGATTTTCATGTCCAAAAACTAACCCTCATAGATTGATCATAATAACCCCTAGCTATCATTCTTCAAAACGACTCGACTAACAATCAAAATGAACTACGTATCTCACGTCAGCTAATAGAAACTTTAGATTACTATAGCTCCATTTCATTCTTAGGAGTAGGAACATCTCTCACATTTAAGCTGGATTTATCGATCAGGAAACGCCTATATAATTTGAGAAATTTATAATTCTGAAAATCCCTACCCCCCAATTACAACACCACTTCACAAAAGTGTGGAATAAGAACTCCATCATACAAGCAAAAATTTATCGATCAGAACAAGAACACCATGAATAACATCGTGAAAGGGTAACAATTTTTATACAACTCAATCACAATGCACAAGATAAGGAAAAACCTCAATGATCCCTTCATCACCATGGATACCAAGATTCTCCAGCTCCTCCGTCTCAAGATCATAAACAAGTAGGTCACCATTGGAGTCCACAAGCAGCACTTTACGGTTCTTGTACAGACCCACAAACCCGTGATCAGCAGGTGCCATGTTCTCGACATGGAATGTGTCCACCAGAGTCCAGCTGCACCCTTCCTCATTCCATACCCAAATCTCGAAACTAAAATCCTTCTTCTTCTCTTCAGCAGCCATACAGCCACCTGTCATCATCATCTCGTCGTCGTCCTCGTCGTCGTCGTCGTCATAATCGTAAATGATAGCAGCGAGCGACCCGTGAAGCTCGGCAAGCATAATGTTCCAAATGGCCACGAGCCTGTCACTTTGAGGAGCGGGAATGGGAGCAGCAGGAAATTCCTTTTTAGCAAAGTCGAAGGACATAATAACGGCTTGAGAACCGAGAGCTATCCAATAACAAAAACCATTTATGTGAGGACAACTGTGTCCAGTGGGTATGAAATCATAAGGATACTTAATTCGCTCAACCAAACCAGTCTTGAGTGAGAACAGGTGTGCGTGGACTCGCTCGAGGGGAGTAAAAGCATCTTCCACGCCCAATCTGACAACTTTATAATCCCCAGTTGCAGGATCAAACCCAACACCATATTCATGCAAACACTGCTTATCCAAACCAAGACCATCAAGGGGTTTAAGCTTGTTGGTAATAAGGTCCAACAAACATTCCCTTGATATTTGGTGTACCAACAGAAGCCATGTGTCACAACTTTTTACAACCATATAGTTGGCATTTCGACGGCTGAGATCGTAGTTTTCAGCTTTGAGTAGAGATAAGTCAGGGAGATTATCTTGTACGACTTTAAACGAGTTATTTTCAGTTGAGATTACAGAGAAATCGAGGGTTCCGTCGTTTACATGACTTACCAGGAGCATTAGATTGCTCTTATCATCCTTCAAATCACGGGGCGTATGGAGGACACCACTGCGGGTAGAGGAACCAACACCAGAGACAATGCTATTCCAGGATTTGGTCAATTTGGATTTCGCGGTAGCAACCATATCTCTGACTGTTGAAGATGAACCATAAACCCTAGGTTCATTTATCTCGCTCTCATCCTCTTTCTCTCGGGGGGATTTCATCAATTCGGATTTGCTGGAGCGATTTGACAGGGATCCCATGTCTGTCTACTGAAGAACGAGGAGATGAAGCCTAGGAATTTCCTCCTTCGGGTGTGTTCAGAATGATTTTCTTCAGAAGGTCACCGCCTGACCTAATGAGGGGAGAAGTGGGACTGCGCGAACCACTCGCACCCGAGGAACTTCGGAGAACTCTTTTATTCTTTGGCTCGTTTTGCTTGGTAGATATCGCACCGAACAACAATTTCTCTGAAAGAAATAACAGAATACAAACTTAAAAATATAGCTCAACTATGGAATAAAAGTGGTACGAATATAATATTAGGGTCGTTAGTAAGTATACCTATGTCAAGCCCATAAAGGTTACTATGTTGACTTTAATTATTCCTATATAATACAAACCTAATTTTTAATAAGCTCATTATATGTTGACTTTAATTATTCCTATATTTAATTATTTATGGAATAGTAATAATGACTTTATTTATTTAGAAATGAAGGTAACTACGTAATACCTACACATTTTTTATGAAAAAAAATTAAAAGTGTCATTATTGTGACAAATAAATTTTCCATTGTATATTATAAATATTTTTGCAAGACTAAATTTTATTTTTTTTTAAAAATATTTATATTTTATCTCTTAGTCACAGACAATCATATAATTGTTACTCTTTCTAGAGTCACGCATCTCTATTTTCTAATAATTAATCATATAATCGTTACTGTTTTTAGAGTCACGAATCTCTATTGTCTAATAATTATTATTATTATTAATTAGCGATGGTGATCGTGATAATGAACACAAACCATCTACTACTAATTATATATTTATGGAAGTATTTTTAAATGTAATAATAAAAATTGTATTCTACCTTTTATTATCTCTATACAATTATTTTTCAATAATTTTTTGTTTAGACTATAATTCATCCACATCAGTATTTAAATATACCACAAAACGCACGAGTGGGCATAGCTGATTTCAAGCTGAGCGAGACAGAGAGAAGGGAAACTAGGTTTTAAGACGGCGCTGTGCGATCGTTCTTCAGACCACTGGCAAAATTTTGTATGCGACACTTTGCTGCCGTAATCACCGACTCCTTATTTTACTGTCACACTTGTTCCTTTATGACGACCTTCTCACCCTTGGTTAATGATTCATGTTGTTTAATGTATGCAGTTTAGCTTGAGTCTTGCCAGCCTCCTTCATGAGCCATAAAGGGAGAAGCTTCTTCGTCTTTTGAGCACCACAAGCTCAAAAAGCATTTGATGCGGAGACCATCTCCGCCGTCATCTCCGTTCGCCACCATGTTCGTTGCTCCTGACCCACCATCGCACCTTCCTCTCTCTGCCCGACCTCCGTTGTGCTCCCCCACGTCCCGCCACTGACCAGCTCAATCTTCCGCCTCCCGCTGTTGTCGCCGTCCAACACAATAACACCGTCGTCTGTAACAGCCCGAATTTATGATCGGCAAGCCGAGGAACGTCCTCTTCATGGAGAGTGGACGACCAAACGAACGGAGATTCGTCCGGCGAGATTGGCGATTTCTGCCGATTAATTTGATCTACGATTATATCATTTTTTTTTAGAATTAGATATTTCTGAGGGGTCTGATTGCAATTTTAAAAAAGTTTGATAAAATATCAATTTAGTCCATGTGCACAATTTGTAATTAAGAAAAACTTTATAAAAATGTTATTTAAATTTTTTTATACATATATATTAAGATAACAAAACAAAAATATTAAATAAAAATAGTATAGAATATTAAAATCATATAAAAATAATGTATAATAATAAATAAAAATATTATTAATTTTGAGTGTTGAGGACAATTTCGCAATTTTATTAATTTAGAGTATATTTTTAATTTAGATTATGACAAAATATCTAATTAAAAAAAATAATTAGATAGTGTTGAAGGACAATTTTGTGATTTTATTAATTTAGAGTATATTTTAATTTAGTTCATGGCCAAATATTTACTTAATAGCAATATTCTTATAAATTCATATTAATGAAAAATAATGTGTACAATGTTTAAAAATTTTAATACGTAAAATTTTAATACATAAAAATATTAAAACAATAAATATTTTTTTTAGTAATAAATAATAAATCATTTTAATTATTTAGGTTAATTCAAGGTACAATTATATTTACCAAGTTTAGTTTTCAAAAACAAGTAATTTATATGTGATCATACAAAGTACTGCACTTTATATATCAACATAATGCACTTTATAAATAAACAATTAACACATTTCATTTATAACCACACTACACAATTAATGTCGTCAGCTCCCGCCAAAATACTACACAATATAAATCTAAAAAAGGGATATACATAATTATTTGACATCACTCACCTCATTTATCCATACAAAACACAAGAATACTAACGTACCAAAACTACAGTAGTTCAATCTATACATCAACACGTTGCACTTTATAAAATAACACGTTACACTTTTCAAAACACCACTATACACATTATCACGACTATCAGATTGCGAAATAGAAATCGAAAACGACCAAATTCAAATTTTTTCAACAAAAAAAAAATAAAATAAAATTGTTAACATATTAAATGTTATTTTAATATAAATAACAAATTATTTCGATTATTTAGGATAATTCAGTTAACCGAACCGAACTAGACAAACCAATAAATTATGTTCATTTTCAATTTGGTTTGGACAAAAGTTTGATTGGTCCAATATGCACAATACAGACCGACGTTTTGCACCATAGTGTTGGACGAAATGCACCTCAATAACTGTAGATTGAATAGTATATTTCATTTACATACATACAAATTTTTTAATAAAATAATTAAATATTAAATATCCAATAAAAGCATTTTAAATACTAATCATATTTTTTTATAATAAATAATATAATTTATGTCAGTTATTTTGGTTATTTATGTTAACCGACAAATCAATCCAATTATGTCGAAATTTTCAGTTCGAATTTTTGTATTTCATTTTGACTATTTATTTTTTACTTTTAAAACGCATATCTATACACAATATTGTGCAATTCATTTATCGAAAAAATGGTGTATTTATCGACTTTTTTATAATTTCATATACACATATGACATTATTTTCTAAAGTGCACACATACACACAATATCGTGCATCTAATGTATCATTGTTGTGCATAAATTTGTCTTCGTTAAATTATAAATTTCCATGCATAAATAAAAATATACATAAATTTAAAATTGTATAAATTGCAAAATAGTCCCTCAAACATATCTAATTTCCCAAAACAAACCCCTAACCAAAAACACCCTCCCCGTCACTCATCTCAGCCCAAATCGCCACTGTCAAGCACCGGCCGCAGGAGTCGCCGTCCGCCGCCGCATCTCCGCCATCCTCGCCGCCTTTCCATGTGCCAAAATCAGCCCCAAATCGCACAAATCATAAAAATGATCACAGCCACACTCGATCATGATTTGTACTATGTTGAAATAGACTCATCACCGGCACATGAACCGAGAGGCCGCCTGAGCCTCCGCCTCTTTGGCTTCCTTGCCTGCGCCTCCTGCGGAGAAGAAAGTATGGGCGGCGCCGCCGCAGGTGAGCTCGACGACGACCCGCTCGGGGCGGCTAAAGAGGGGTGGAGGGGTGTGGTCGCAGACGCGACATATTTGTAGCGGCCGACGATGAGGAGATCGGCGGGAGAATGTGCTTGCCAACATTCTAATCGTCGGATTTTCGCCAGAGACCTACTGCACCGCGGTGGAGACACGGCAGTGGCATGACGGCGGCAGCAAGGTTAGTTGTCTTTGGTTGCAAGGTTAGTTGTCTTTAGTTGCAAGGTTAGTTGTCTTGGTTGCAAGGTTAGTTATCTGTAGTTGCAAGGTTAGTCCTGTCTAGTTGCAATGTTAGTTTTCTCTAGTTGCATGATTAGTTGTCTTTAGTTGAAAATTTAGTTCTATCTTGTTGCAGGGTTAGTTGTTTTTATTTACAATGTTTAGTTGTATTTTGTTTACAAGGTTAGTTGTCTGTAGTTGCAAGGTTAGTTGTCTTTAGTTGCAAGGTTAGTTGTCTTTAGTTGCAAGATTAGTTGTCTTTAGTTGCAAGGTTAGTTGTCTTTGATTGCAAGGTTAGTTGTCTGTAATTGAAGGTTAGTTCTGTCTAGTTGAAATGTTAGTTTTCTCTAGTTGCAAGGTTAGTTGTTTGTAGTTGCAAGGTTAGTTGTCTGTAGTTGCAAGGAGCTGTCCTCATTTTAAGAGTTGTTCTCATTTGATCCGCCCCTATATATATATATATATATATGAAAATTTATTACATAGTCCGAATTTGCATTCCAAATTTAAAATGCAAATAAGTAATTTTTCATAACGTATGGGTCAATATTAACTTGAGCGTAAATAGAATAGTCAACTATTTATAGTTTAATTAATTATTGAACTACTTAAATTTTTTTATTTATAAAGTTTACAGAAAAAAAAATTTATTTTAATTAATGAAAAAATATAAATTTTAATATTATACTTATTATTTACCTAGATTTTAAAATATATGAACCAGAATAATTATTTTATGTAACCACATTGTATTCAAATCAAATATCTAAATAAAACCTTTAAAACGACACTTATTTTGAAATAAATATAATATAATTTATTATCAGTTATGTACGCCTTACGGGTTGTGTACACATTTTAAATCGATACGTTTTATGTAATTTTGCAAAATTTAAATTTCAAATAACATTTTATATAAATTAATATAGGTAAATTGTAATACATATTGACTCTATATTTTAAATCTATTAATATTATTTAATGAGTATTTTTAATATCTTAATAAACTAATATAGATAAATTGTATTACATATTTTTTTCTATATTTTTAATTTATTAATATTATTTAAAGAGCACTTTTAATTTATAAATATTAATGAATTCGTACTAGTTTAAGAGGAATTCATGGAACCGTGCATCTTCAAGTTGGCCGATTTTCATGCACCACTAGCACATAACCCATATCATACACGCTACAATAATGAAAAACTGTATAATTAAAATTGAGAAGGATCATATATTAGAATAAAAATAATTTAGAATATTAATGTTAACTTTTTTATGATATATAATAATTTAATGACATCGCGACGCGACAAATTTAAATTTATAAAAGTTATCCTCGACTAACCTCTACTAACTAGTAGTAGCGGCGAGTAAGGGTTGATCCCACGAGGAGCAGGAATTAAATTGTGATTATTCTCGTATTAATCGAATTAAAACTAAGAAAACACTAAAGAGTGGGGGATTGGTTTTATAAAAATAAAAATAAATAAAATAAAATCAAATAAAATGAGATAAGTCCAGTTTTCCGGTTCAATTATCACTCAATCTAAATCTACCGTTAATTAATTTCGATGTTTTCTTTAAATTGCTAATGAATTACCGACCCTAGCTAACAACAAGCTCTGTTAACCGAATTTTCTCTTACCGAATATTTAATCGAAATAGGCTTTTCGACCAAACCTAACTAGTGGACAACCTAGAATAAACTCTCTAGATTTAGTGCACTAGCAGCATTAAGTTCTAGGAAAATAGATCAGTCTAAGCAATGGACTCAAAAGCTCGGACCATTTAACTTATGTTCACGCTACCCTAGAGATGCACGACCCCTAGTTTACTACTAGCGAAACGAGACAATAACAATTACGGATTAAAGTCCCGAATCTAGCAACTAAACTATGAACATTCGACATAGCTGGCCAAACTAAATCAAACACCCACAATTCATAAACGCGATACACAGATAACATGAATCAACTCATCGACAAAATAAATACGGTGTCTCGATTAATCAACGATAAGAAATAGATCATCCAATTTATAGACAAATCGGAATTAGGGTTCAAACATCCTCTAAAACTGGATAAAAATCTAACCTAGCATACATGTGAAAATAAATAAAAGATAAAAGAGAGAAGATAAAAATATCTCCCTCGGAATTAGGGCGTATGAATATGGTGTTGGGTTTGATCCTGCAACTGGGGATTATAAAGTTGTCAGATTGGGCGTGGAAGATGCTTATGGTCCCCTCGAGCGAGTCCACGCACACCTGATGTCACTCAAGACTGGTTTGGTTGAGCGAATTAAGTGTCCTTATATCTACCATGACACGTAAATAGTTCACGCCTGATTTTGATGAAAAATTGTGGAAGTTAAAACATATAGGTAGAATTTGAAGTAGTCATGTATGATGATTCTATGAGATGAAGTGCGTCATTCAATGAAATGAAGTGTATTAGTAGTATTTTCTCATTAGTGTGTCGAGTTCATGGCTATTTTACTTCACAAAAGTAGGTACGAATCGCACAAAAACTGGTACTACGTAGAACAATATGTGGTACTATTATGGCAAAAACTGGTACTAGTTTAGGAATCGTATTTTTTTTAATCCTTCATGCCTACCTTTTCACGTGAATCGTTCTAGCTTGATTTGGATGAAAACTAGTTGAAGTTAAATTAAATAAGTAGAATTTGGAGTAGTCATGTGTGATGATTCTATGAGATGAAGTGTAACATTGAATGAAATGAAGTGTAGTAGTAGTGTTTTCTCATTAGTGTGTCAACTTCATGACCACTCTACGATTAAACTCAACTAAAAATATTTTAAATCTCATATAAAGCAATGTGATAGTGATTGTGGGTTATGTAAACATCATTGAAGGCCGACATTCGGTGTTTTTATGTATTCATTACAAGTGGTATTAAATACCCAAAATCAGGTACTACTGCAATACAAAAGTGATACTATCCTTCTCTAGGTCCGGTACTACTTTTTGTAAATGTTGAGTAAAATTGAAATAATAAATTTTCCTTCACAAAAGTAGGCACTAATCGCTCAATAACTGATACTACGTAGAACAATATGTGGTACTATTATGGCAAAAGCTGGTATTAGTTTAGGAACCGTATTTTTTTTTTAATCTTTCATGTCTACCTTTTCATTCATGAACCATTTGCAGCTAACCATCAAACACAAACACCAAAAACTTCATTCATCACTTGATCACTCCCAAATTCTATTTACAAATCACTTTAAATNTCATACAAATCCAAAGTTTTCCAAAAAAAAAAAGCATTCTGTACTGATAAAACCATTCAATCATCATCAACAACAAATCATCATCAACAACAAACAAACGACTGACCCATCAAACGCATTGAGCCAAACTATTCTCACAATCTATTAAAAAAATGTGAACAATTTGCACATCACAACCCCGCACAATTGCACAAAACTGTACTATCGTGTTCGTTGATAGTATACCGCAGCCAAACCATTCTCACAATCTGTCAAAACATATATGGCATTATGTACTATTGGGTATGTCTCTCAAATTTCCCAAAACGTGTGAGTTATCAAAATAGATATGGTAAACACCACTTTATGCCTCTCAAATATCTCTTTGGTGGAATAAAATGCGTCTTGAACAGCAGCTATTGAATTTGAAGCTCTTCTTCTCAGCTGGGCCTTCGATAGATTGTTCCATCTCAACGATCCCGAGGCCCTTAGACGAGGTACGCCTCTATACATACCTCAACGCCCAAATTCTCTTTTTAAATCCTCTATCTTTTCACTTGCTCTGTCCAAGCTTAATATATTGATCAATTTTGCAGTCAGATTTTTTTATGCCTTGGGAGAAAAAAAAAAAAAAAAAGATCCATCTTTTCTTAAGCCTCGCCCGGCGGCGGCGGCATGTTCAGATCATTAGTCAGCTTTTTCGTCACCATTCAAGCCTCGCCCGGCGGCGGCATGTTCAGATCGAGATCCAGCCCTCTATTGCCATCAGATACGTCCATCTGGTTCTCATATTCGCTCCGCCGCGTGGGAACCTGACGGCAGCGGGGTTCAGCCGGTAGGCCACCGCCATGCCCGAGTGCACCATCGCGCCGAATGGGAACACCGGCTGCCCGTTGGGCAGAACCGCCACACGCCGCCTGCGGGAGAAGAACTGATATCCGCCCCTAAAGACTGAATTTTAAATTCAGAACTAACAAAGAGTATTGACATTAGAAAACAATGGCAATAGTACTCCCTTCAGACATACTCACAGTTGGGTATGTATCAAGTAAGCCAAGTAGCTCTTTTATTATCTACAAAACACAGCTCAACAATAGTACAATGAAACCCACTGAGGTCCAACAAAACAAAAAAACACATTGATATATCCCCCCAAAAAAAAACCCAAGAAGACGAACACAATGTCTGCACAAATCTACAGATTTTACATACATAAGCAGAAGATCAAGAAACCCCATACCTCAAATTTCCTCAGCTGCATGAAAATCGGGCAAGAACACAAACCCCGATAAGGCATCGATCGAAAAACTCAGGCTGCCATAACAGATCTCTTGTGCGCCATAACCACCTCCAGAAGCTCGCAATACCCCGTGAATTTCCACCGGTGGCCATTGAACCGGTTCCAATCATCTTCAATTAGACTGTAATTGAAAGAAAAACCAAGCAATTGAAAGAAAAAAAAAATTGAATTGGGATTGATTTTCAGGATTTGGGTTTTGGAAAATAGTCGATCTTTTGTTTTTCTTTTCTTCTGAGTTTTTATGATTTAGGAATTAAAAGATAATAAATAATATAAGTATATATAGGGATAGTTTTAAGGAAAATAGAAGATGCTAGTAGGGAGTGAGAGGAAAAAATATAGGAAAATGTTACAATCTCGTTACGGAACCATTCCGTTGGGATTGTAACCGTTAAATCATCAAGTAACCGTCAATGATAATTGATCTAACGATTACAAATCCCAACGGAATGGTTCCGTAACGAGATTGTAGCCTTACCCAAAAATATAACCTAGGACCGACAAGGAACTTGAACGTGGCATTGAGGATTTATCTTTACTTTACCATAAAAGGAAAGCTGGATAAATAGTAAATTTTAAGGAATAAACAACTAAATCTAATTAGGAGTAAACAAGTAATTCCACTCCCGATTTTGATATGGAGCCAATAGTTGGCTTCATAGTGGAGCCAACATTTTATATGCAACTAAACCTACCATATTCTCAGATTACTTAAATAACACTAATATAATTTTATTAATATGGTAGATTTATTTATTATATATAGAAGGTTGACTTTACTATGAAGCCTCTAGCAAAACCAATTCTACTCCTGTGGGTAAAAGGAAAGCATGATAAATAGTAAATTTTAAAGAATAAACAACTAATTCTACCCCTATGGGTAAAAGGAAAGTTCGATATACCAACGCCTATATATATTGTACGCATAGCCTGTAAACAGTATCATCAACATCTATCGCTTCCACTCACAGTTTTTCTTTTCTTGTCCCGAAGGCTATCGCATATCTGAATCTCCGATTCACTCATATCGTCTCCCTCTCGATAGATTTCAATTCTGCGATTCGTTCTTCAATAGACAGACATGGGATCCCTCTCAAATGGCTCCAGCAAATCCGAATTGATGAAATCCTTCCGAGAGAAAGAGAATGAGAGCGAGATAAATGAACCTAGGGTTTTTGGTTCATCTTCAACCGACAGAGATATGGTTGCTACCGCGAAATCCAAATTTCATGCGCCCCGTAATTTGAAGGATGATAAGAGCAATCTAATGCTCCTGGTAAGTCATGTAAACGGCGGAACCCTCGATTTTTCTGTAATCTCAACAGAAAATAACTCGTTTAATGTCGTACAAGATAATCTCCCTGACTTATCTCTACTCAAAGCTGAAAACTACGATCTCAGCCGTCGAAATGCCAACTATATGGTTGTAAAAAGTTGTGACACATGGCTTCTGTTGGTACACCAAAAATCAAGGGAATGTTTGTTGGACCTTATTACCAACAAGCTTAAACCCCTTGATGGTCTTGGTTTGGATAAGCAGTGTTTGCATGAATATGGTGTTGGGTTTGATCCTGCAACTGGGGATTATAAAGTTGTCAGATTGGGCGTGGAAGATGCTTTTACTCCCCTCGAGCGAGTCCACGCACACCTGTTCTCACTCAAGACTGGTTTGGTTGAGCGAATTAAGTATCCTTATGATTTCATACCCACTGGACACAGTTGTCCGCACATAAATGGTTTTTGTTATTGGATAGCTCTCGGTTCTCAAGCCGTTATTATGTCCTTCGACTTTGCTAAAAAGAAATTTCCTGCTGCTCCCATTCCCGCTCCTCAAAGTGACAGGCTCGTGGCCATTTGGAACATTATGCTTGCCGAGCTTCACGGGTCGCTCGCTGCTATCATTTACGATTATGACGACGACGAGGACGACGACGAGATGATGATGACAGGTGGCTGTATGGCTGCTGAAGAGAAGAAGAAGGATTTTAGTTTCGAGATTTGGGTATGGAATAAGGAAGGGTGCAGCTGGACTCTGGTGGACACATTCCATGTCAAGAACATGGCACCTGCTGATCACGGGTTTGTGGGTCTGTACAAGAACCGTAAAGTGCTGCTTGTGGACTCCAATGGTGACCTACTTGTTTATGATCTTGAGACGGAGGAGCTGGAGAATCTTGGTATCCACAGTGACGAAGGGATCATTAAGGTTTTTCCTTATCTTGTGCAGAGCTAAGCAGTAGGTTAAAAGGGCCAGTAGAAGGTATGCGGTTTGACCTCGGTCTTCCGGCTTGCTTGGGATCAAAAGGGCATTTCACAACCATCAAACTAGTCGCTGTAGTTAAGTCCCAAGTACTTGGATGCGCAATTGGCATGATTATGGGCTCGTAAAGTTTACGCCATGTTGTGGTCTTGTAGTAGTCGTGCACATATCCGAACACCGATTCGTTTGCCTTCCTAACAATGGTACATGCATAGAAAACAAAATAATGGAACACAATATAACATTTTCTTATGGGTAAGATGACAATAAGTAAACATTGAGGCTTTTATTAAATAAAAAATAATAATGAAAAATTTACCCGATAGCCTTAATCGCATGTGAACAGGGCAATAAATCGACCTGAAAGAGATAACAAGTGCAAGTCCGATCCTTCAAATTGACGACAAAATTCTTGACCCCGTCCTTCACGTGATAAACGTAGTGATTGATATTTGAAGCTTCCATTTGGTCCGCTTCGGTTTTATAATCCATTAAACGCTTAGATATTGATGGAGTAACTTCACACTCAGTGTTTTCTGCCTCGACACGTCTTTTGTGAAACCACTCTTGCATAACGTTTCGAATACATTCAAACAATGAGCATACCGGCAATTTCCGTGCCCAACGCAACCTATTGTTCAGCACCTCACAAGCATTTGACGTCATGAAACTATATCGTCTCGCAGGACATTGACTTCGTGCCCACCTAGTTGGAATGGCTTCATCAATAAGAACATTCAATACTTTTGGATATTTTGCCGCAAGCATAGCCATCGACTTTTCGTACACAACAGGAGAATAAGTGTATGATGCTTTCATATATAAACCAACGGCTTTACTACCGTAACTTCGAATATTTTGCCGAAGGTGGTACGAACATATGGCATGTACGGCTTCAGGGTAGACAACCTCGATAGCAGACTTTATGCTCACGTGGCGATCAGAAACAATCACCAAATTCTCCGGACATCCAAAAGTGGAGCGAAGCTTTTGGAGAAACCACATCCACGAACTATGACATTCCACATCGCCGACACCAAATGCCAAAGGAAAAATTTGTTCATTTCCGTCCTTTGTAGCTGCTACAAATAGGATGCCTTTATACTTACCCTTCAAATGCGTACCGTCAATTACAATCACGGGCCGACAATAATTGAGGAAGCCTGCAGACGCATGCAAAGAAATGAAAGCATACTCAAACACGTCATCTTTATCGGTCTCAATGTATGCCGATGTTCCAGGATTTTCCTTCATCGACATATGGAAATAGCCGGGCAAAACTTCCCAAGATTTCTTGTGATCTCCATAAATGAAGTCGTAGGCGGCATTTTGAGACCTCAAGGCTGTATCGTACTTGAGCTTAATGCCATGATCACGCTCCATGTCACCCATAATTTCTGCAGGCTTCAATACTCGGCCCTCTGTCAACAACTTCGGCGCGAATAATGCTCCAATGATCTTTGCAGGCAATTGTCGAGGGGCTGAATGACTCAGGTTAACGAAGCATGTATGTGGATGGATAAATTTTGAAATTTTCCAACTACCTCCAGTCAGTGCATTCGCAGAAAGCAAGAATTGGCAATTCTTATGCTTGCACACAAACTTTAACCGAGACTGTGAAGATCTTGGCGTTCGAAACTCCACTTTATGCTTCAAATGATATAAACCCACTCTTACCGTCAATTCATCCTTACTTTCAATGACAACGCCTTTGGCTAATTCACGGACTGTCATTGACGGCTCTTCATACGAGGGATGAACATCAACATTGTGAAAAATGGCTTCGGGAATCCTCCAACCGCTACTCGAACGAGTACCTGTTTCAATCAAATCGTCTTCTTCAATAGCAACACCTCCAGAAAGGTCAAGTCGAGGAACATTGTGGATCGCTATACTCTTCTTGTTGCGTAGAATATGCTCATTTAAACCACCCATCATGTTTGAGGGGGACACAACATTGTCGTCGCCATCATCACCTTCTTCCGAGACAAGCATATCATCTTCTTCAATAACGAAATCCGAATCGTCATTGCTATCATCCATCTCATTGGGGAAATCGTCATTGCAAGGATTATCGTTGATGTTCATATCATTATTGTAAGCATCACAATATTGCTCGTCATCATCACCTTCATCATCCTCAGTTGAATCCCCATTGAACCCGCTACCCACACCCCAATCGACATGTTCGGGAGATTGACGTGAGGCACCGGGTTGATTTGATTCCATCCTTCTGGTGGTGTCGGGCACCGGGTTGTAATTGTTCGCCGGATGAGATGTTGATGGTTGACTGTGTAAGTTCATTATAGGTGGATACACAGCACCATATGGATAGAGAGGTAGGCCCTGAGCAGCAACTAAATTCATAAACCCACCTTGTCCCCCGGTATAGCCATACAAAGGGTACGCTGGTACACTCGCCTGATTATACGGACCTGGACTATCTTTCGGTTGTAGTGTAACATAGATAGTAGGTATTGTGAACATGGCAGACACATTTCGCAGATCTGCTTCACAAGAGATACGCCATTTCTCCACTTCTCCGTTATCAGCGGCCACTAAAAAGTGAAATCGGTAGTCGCACATGTTTCTATCTCCACGAACAATGTCATGAACTCTGTTTATGAAAGCTTCATATGATGAGGTCCTAAGACAGAAAAAATTCATCTCTGTCTCACCATTTTTGTAGTCATTCCCATCCCAAAAGCCACTGTGAACAATTCGCACCTTACCAACATCCATCTGAAAAAAATAAATAAATAAAAAACACAATCTTAGTACAAATACTTTCTTCAACCTTTTTTTTACCTTCAAATGTGTTTGGACAAACATATATGAATACAAGACACAGTTTCTTGAACAAGAAGAAATTTATTCTTCAATAAACCTCAAGAAACAGGTTTCTTGAGAAAGAGGTCAATAAACGTGTTTCTTGAGCATCAAACAGGTTCAAACAGGTTTCTTGCTCAAGAAACTGCGTGTTGAACAAGAAGAAATTGTTTCTTGTCCTTTCTTGTTGAAGAAACTTTTTTTCGTTCAATAAATTGTATATTTTTCAACAAACGATTACTTCAACTCCTAAACCTCCAAAAAAGGCCTCAAGAAACTGTACAATAAAAGTAATGAACTCCAAAACAAAACCCCTCTTTTTCAAGAACAAAAACACGAATTTTTTAAATCTAAAAAAATATTACTTCAACACAATAAAATGGTGCAAGTGCAAGACAAATCAATAATGATGGGAACCAAAATAATAAATTTTTTTAAAAAAATTATTTAACATAATAAAAAAAAAATAAATTAGGTTTAGGTCAATGTACCTTTTTTTTCTTCTCAAAAAGGGATGCACTTGGTGGTGTTGAAGATGATTTTTGGTTGAGATGATTCACTTAAGTAAAATTTGGGAAGATTTCTAATTTTTGTTTTTATCCGCTGCGCACAACAATGGAGGAAGACACAACAATGGAGGAATGGAAGAGAAAGGCCCGCGCAGCAATATATGTGCTCACTCTTTTTTCTTTATTATTTTTTTTAATAGGTAAACATTAATAAGGGTATAGTGGTACTTTTAACCCCTAAAATGGCTACATTTCATCTTTTCTAGAAACATGGCTAGATTTCATTTTTGTCTTAAAAAAAGTGCTACAAACCGGCGGCACTGTAAAATTAATTAGAGCTCATAGGGCGTATGTATGGTTTGGTGGCATCTTTCTATGTCTTTCATATTTTCAACGACGGCAAATCATTGTTAGAGATGTTAAATAGG